GGGGGGGGGGGGGGGGGGGGGGGGGGGGGGGGGGGGGGGGGGGGGGGGGGGGGGGGGGGGTGAGAATTCATCTGTGGTTCACTTGAGCCAATTAAACACCCTGTTTACAGAAATAACCCAAAAAAAAGTGTAAACTTTACTTTTGTGGACATATTTGTGGTGATGTTTGTGGACATATTTGTGGTGATGTTTGTGGACATATTTATGGTGATGTTTGTGGACATATTTGTGGTGATATTTGTGGACATATTTGTGGTGATGTTTGTGGACATATTTGTGGTGATGTTTATGGACATATTTATGATGATGTTTATGGACATATTTGTGGTGATATTTTTGGACATATTTGTGGTGATGTATGTGGACATATTTGTGGTGATGTTTGTGGACATATTTGTGGTGATGATTGTGGACATATCAGGTGTTATGTATTTAAGCACACCAATAAGCTGCCAAGTCTGCCATCCAGCATTATCGACAGCTTTATTCAGGACACAGAGCGTAAAAGCTGATTTTTAAAATCAATATTGACAGTTGGGAGTAAGTACAGCAATTTATGATGACACTGTTCAAATTCTTCATCTCACAATAAAACATATGTATATGAATATATGACATTTAAAATATTTCTGTCTTAATCTCAGAATCAGCATAAAAGACAAAACAAATGAACTATTGGTATCTGGTTTTAAAAATAAACACAGAAGAGATTACATTCTTTCCACATCAGCTCACTAGTATTCAACATTATTTTTAAAAACTATATGTACACTGGCACTCTGTAGAGCTTTACAATGGACTCACTAAATTATCTGTAGGTTTTCCATGACATTCCATGACGGCTTATACCGCAGTCCCCACAGCAGCTTCTGGCATATTTAATGGTTGTTTAACATCGCCATCTTCGGCGGCCTCATCCCCGTAATCATCTGTGTTCGGATCCTTCTCTAAGTCCCCGTCGTCTGTGCTCCTCAGCATCTGCTCTCTAAGCTCTTGGGTCTTCTGGAAGTCAATGTCTGTGTATTCGACTCTGTCACGTTCTGTCTTTTTGCGCAGCCCATCTTTTTTCTTCTTTTTCTCCTTTTTACCTGGTTTCTCACCTTGGAAATCTACCGAGACGTAGACCAGTCCTTTTTCATCCTGTGAAAAGAAGTAACAAACAGGGGTTGTCGAAATGTTTCGTAAATCTTGGTACAGGTGTGCATTTGATTTTCTTACATTATCTAAAGACTTCTTTAGGTTACATAATTGAAAAAAAATAGTGGAGTAAAAAAAACAACAAAATTTATGGTTGAATATTTCTTTTTAATTCTCATTTAATGACAAATTTTCTTTTTTCCAACTTTGTTTCTTAAACTGAATTCCCAATGATAAGGGAAAGAATAGACAAGAGATTAATGTTGTTTCTTAAACTGAAGTCCCAATGATAAGTGAAAGAATAGACAAGAGATTCATGTTGTTTCTTAAACTGAATTCCCAATGATAAGGGAAAGAATAGACAAGAGATTCATGTTGTTTCTTAAACTGAAGTCCCAATGATAAGTGAAAGAATAGACAAGAGATTCATGTTGTTTCTTAAACTGAAGTCCCAATGATAAGTGAAAGAATAGACAAGAGATTCATGTTGTTTCTTAAACTGAAGTCCCAATGATAAGTGAAAGAATAGACAAGAGATTCATGTTGTTTCTTAAACTGAAGTCCCAATGATAAGTGAAAGAATAGACAAGAGATTCATGTTGTTTCTTAAACTGAAGTCCCAATGATAAGTAAAACTATAGACAAGAGATTCATGTTGTTAAGTCAGGGGTAATGTTAAACATATTGAAAGGGGACATCCATTTCATTGATAATAGACATGTTATAATTTGATTAATAAGGTCACGCAATAATTTTATCACTTGTTATAACTAGTCTAAACATTGGAAGAAATTATTAATTGCCCCCACCCACCCTCCCCCAATTTTATTTTTAAATTGTGTAAATAGAACAACTTTTTTTAATGTTTTCATTTTCTTTTTTCTACTCTATCTTGTTATCAATATTCTAGTTCTTGTTATCAATATTCTAGTTCTTGTTATCAATATTCTAGTTCTTGTTATCAATATTCTAGCTCTTGTTATCAATATTCTAGCTCTTTTTATCAATGTTCTAGTTCTTGTTATCAATATTCTAGTTTTTGTTTTCATTATTCTAGTTCTTGTTATCAATATTCTAGTTCTTGTTATCAATATTCTAGTTCTTGTTATCAATATTCTAGTTCTTGTTATCAATATTCTAGTTCTTGTTATCAATATTCTAGCTCTTGTTATCAATATTCTAGTTCTTGTTATCAATATTCTAGTTCTTGTTATCAATATTCTAGTTCTTGTTATCAATATTCTAGCTCTTGTTATCAATATTCTAGCTCTTTTTATCAATGTTCTAGTTCTTGTTATCAATATTCTAGTTTTTGTTTTCATTATTCTAGTTCTTGTTATCAATATTCTAGTTCTTGTTATCAATATTCTAGTTCTTGTTATCAATATTCTAGTTCTTGTTATCAATATTCTAGTTCTTGTTATCCATATTCTAGTTCTTGTTATCAATATTCTAGTTCTTGTTATCAATATTCTAGCTCTTGTTATCAATATTCTAGCTCTTTTTATCAATATTCTAGCTCTTTTTATCAATGTTCTAGTTCTTGTTATCAATATTCTAGTTTTTGTTTTCATTATTCTAGTTCTTGTTATCAATATTCTAGTTCTTGTTATCAATATTCTAGCTCTTATTATCAATATTCTAGTTCTTGTTATCAATATTCTAGCTCTTGTTATCAATATTCTAGCTCTTTTTATCAATATTCTAGTTCTTGTTATCAATATTCTAGTTTTTGTTTTCATTATTCTAGTTCTTGTTATCAATAGAGTAGTTCTTGTGACCATATCTTCCATTGTTTTAGATTAGCAGTGATGAAGAAATTAATGTGTGCTTATTTTTGTTTTAATTGATCCAAAAATGTAATAACATCATCAGACACACTTCAATTGTATCCCCGAGTTTCATAAAGTGTGCGCCACTCACCTAGGGAAAACCACAGCCTCCTTACAAGGGAGCAACAAAATATTACAAACTTTTTAAACAATGTTTTCAATTCAAGACAAGAATTCTTGAGCTTATCTTGCGCAAAGAAATAGATTAATTTGTAATAACTATATGCAGAAGCCTCTAGTTGGCATTCTGTCACTAGTTGGCAGGTGGTCACTAGTTGGCATGTTGTTACTAGTTGGCATGTTGTCACTAGTTGGCATGTGGTTACTAGTTGGCATGTGGTTACTAGTTGGCATGTGGCCTTGAGTGGATTTTTAGACATTGCCATGTGACGTACTTCCAAGAAATGACAAAATATGTGTTATTCCCAGAAATACATGTATTGAGAAATCATGACTATTGGTAAGCCAAATTGCACCGGATATTTTTGGACCAACATGGGAGAACCACTTGCACAACCTAGCAGCATTTGAGTTAGGAACAAATTATTTGATACATTAGAAAAACTTTGCCATCAAAGATTAAATGATGGCCATATTTTGAGCAGTTCTTTATTTACCTTGTCTTTGCCAAGTACAGGTCTCCTATCTCCATCTGCATTGTTGCTGTATGACACATTGGCATAGTCTTCATCTTCAACAAAAACAGAAATAGAGGAATGACTGACACATGTATTGATTGGGGGAGTGTGTCACTGTGTCAGATAACACCAAAATTTCATCAATGTAATTGTTACACAACAGGAAATTTCTCCATGTCCTAAAAAGTTACAGTTTGGAGGATGTCTAAACGTGGCCAAGGATTTTATTCACCCTCACAGTATTAGAAATTATACTCCTACTGTTATGACTGTCACTTTGTCTCCTACTGTTATGACTGTGACTTTGTCTCCTACTGTTATGACTGTGACTTTGTCTCCTACTGTTATGACTGTGACTTTGTCTCCTACTGTTATGACAGTGACTTTGTGTCCTACTGTTATGACTGTGACTTTGTCTCCTACTGTTATGACTGTGACTCTGTCTCCTAATTTTACGACCATGACTTTGTCTCCTACTGTTATGACTGTGACTTTGTCTCCTACTGTTATGACCATGACTTTGTCTCCTAATTTTACGACCATGACTTTGTCTCCTACTGTTATGACTGTGACTTTGTCTCCTACTGTTATGACTGTGACTTTGTCTCCTACTGTCATGACTGTGACTTTGTCTCCTACTGTTATGACTGTGACTTTGTCTCCTACTGTTATGACTGCGACTTTGTCTCCTACTGTCATGACTGTGACTTTGTCTCCTACTGTTATGACTGTGACTTTGTCTCCTAATTTTACGACCATGACTTTGTCTCCTACTACCATGACTTTGTCTCCTACTGTTATGACCATGACTTTGTCTCCTACTGTTATGACTGTGACTCTGTCTCCTAATTTTACGACCATGACTTTGTCTCCTACTGTTATGACTGTGACTTTGTCTCCTACTGTTATGACCATGACTTTGTCTCCTAATTTTACGACCATGACTTTGTCTCCTACTGTTATGACTGTGACTTTGTCTCCCAATTTTACGAGCATGACTTTGTCTCCTACAGTTATGACTGTGACTTTGTCTCCTAATTTTACGACCATGACTTTGTCTCCTACTGTTATGACTGTGACTTTGTCTCCTAATTTTACGACCATGACTTTGTCTCCTACTGTTATGACTGTGACTTTGTCTCCTAATTTTACGACCATGACTTTGTCTCCTACTGTTATGACTGTGACTTTGTCTCCTAATTTTACGACCATGACTTTGTCTCCTACTGTTATGACTGTGACTTTGTCTCCTAATTTTACGACCATGACTTTGTCTCCTACTGTTATGACTGTGACTTTGTCTCCTAATTTTACGACCATGACTTTGTCTCCTACTGTTATGACTGTGACTTTGTCTCCAAATTTTACGACCATGACTTTGTCTCCTACTGTTATGACTGTGACTTTGTCTCCTATTGTTATGACCATGACTTTGTCTCCTACTGTTATGACCATGACTTTGTCTCATACTGTTATGACTGTGACTTTGTCTCCTAATTTTACGACCATGACTTTGTCTCCTACTGTTATGACTGTGACTTTGTCTCCTACTGTTATGACCATGACTTTGTCTCCTAATTTTAAGACCATGACTTTGTCTCCTACTGTTATGACTGTGACTTTGTCTCCTACTGTTATGACTATTGACTCATTCACTAGTAGTACGACAAACCATCATCCTTGAAAATTTTAGTCTATTCAAGAATGCGGATCAAACCAACAGCACTTGTGACAATGCTAGAGACAGACAATGCTAGAGACCGACAATGCTAGAGACAGACAATGCTAGAGACAGACAATGCTAGAGACAATGTTCTGCCAACCATGCTTAAATGATGCTCTAAATCAGTGGTTCTCAACCTTCCCAATGCCGAGACCCTTTCATACAGTTCCTCATGTTGTGGCGACCCCCCAGCCAAAAATTGTGTTTGTTGCTACTTCATAACTGTAGAGCATAAGTGTTTTCTGATGGTCTTAGGCGACCCCTGGAAAAGGGTCTCGCGACCCACAGGTTGAGAACCGCTGCTCTAAATGATCTTAAACTGACAATGTATTCAATGTGTTTACCTCTGTCATGCTCTGGTCTTCTCAAGTCAGTGTTAATGTATTCACCATCCTCAACAAGGTCAGGGTCATTCACATAGTTCCCGTCGTCACTCTCATCATCTGCAAGAGAGTAGAGAATGCCATTTTAACAAACCAACTTGTACATTATGTACTGATGTTGACACTACCATTGTTGTCACATGTACCCACACTACCATTGCTGTCACATGTACCCACACTTCCATTGTTGTCACATGTACCCACACTACCATTGCTGTCACATGTACCCACACTACCATTGCTGTCACATGTACCCACACTACCATTGCTGTCACATGTACCCACACTACCATTGTTGTCACATGTACCCACACTTCCATTGCTGTCACATGTACCCACACTACCATTGTTGTCCACACTACCATTGTTGTCACATGTACCCACACTACCATTGCTGTCACATGTACCCACACTTCCATTGCTGTCACATGTACCCACACTTCCATTGCTGTTAGTAAATATTAAAATACAGGACCATTTTTTTATCATGTGGATATTCTTTTTTTTCTTCTCTTACAGCAGGGACACTACTCAGATCTACATGAATTGTCCTACCTGACTGCCGCCTGTTGGGGTATTCACTTCCTTTCTTTGGATTGGGTTTTGTCCTTTTGGTACACATAGAAATAATATGTTAGTGCATTGATCATTTAGATTAAAAATAGAAAGAATATTATAAAAACTCTTAAATTAAGCCCCTTAATTTTTTTTAAAACTGTGAGGCTAGTAAAAAAAAATATTGGTTACATCAGAAGTGTTTTAAACTTGACATGCCATGATTAAAATAAAAATATCACAAAATATAATTTTAGCATTAAAATAAAAATATCCTAAAGTAAAAAAGCATAAAATAAAAATATAAAACAATTTATCACGTAATGAATATTAAGGTTCTTACTTTTTAAAAATTCTTTTTGGATTATATATTGGTGTACGCTTGGGTGCATCGCTGGATATGGCTGCAAAGAACAGGATCAACAACATGCATCAACAACCAAGCAACACATACATCACACTACACAACCCATCTGAATTTTATTTTTATAAATATTTCATGTCTGTGCCTGTAATTTCATATTATAATTTATACTACTTTTAAATAACTTTTAAAAGATTTTATTTCAACATTGTATTAAATACAAAACTGGTCTCTCCCCCCCCCCCCCCCCCCCCCTTTTCATATTTTCACTCTACCCTTTTCCTAATACCAGGATCTGATGTCTTAAGTTCAAAAGAATTATGTTACCTGCACCGTTTGCTGGTTTGGAGTCAGTTCTTTTAAAGCTGTTGAGGAATGTGTTGATTCTTGCCGGCAATTTGGAGCTTGAAGTGCTGCAGACGACACAATTTTAACACATGAAAAATAAAGGCACCAATGATGTATTTCTCATTGCTGTCATGTGATCATGTGTTTCTCATTGCTGTCATGTGATCATGTGTTTCTCATGGCCGTCATGTGATCATGTGTTTCTCATGGCCGTCATGTGATCATGAGTTTCTCATTGCTGTCACGTGATCATGTGTTTCTCATGGCCGTCATGTGATCATGTGTTTATCATTGCTGTCATGTGATCATGTATTTCTCATGGCCGTCATGTGATCATGTGTTTATCATTGCTGTCATGTGATCATGTGTTTCTCATGGCCGTCATGTGATCATGTGTTTCTCATTGCTGTCATGTGATCATGTGTTTCTCATGGCCGTCATGTGATCATGTGTTTCTCATTTCTGTCATGTGATCATGTGTTTCTCATTGCTGTCATGTGATCATGTGTTTCTCATGGCCGTCATGTGATCATGTGTTTCTCCTGACTATTATGTGGTACGCTAATATCAAAAAGATTAACCCACAGTTTGAGGACACTATGTCCACACGGCCTAAACCCACTTGTTTCTTTCATGTTAATAGACAAGCTTTGACCCCTGCTGATCTGACCCCTGCTGATCTGACCCCTGCTACTTAAGATAAGATCAAAGGCTTTTGTTGATCCAAAGATATGGACATTCAGCACATGTGGTTTTCAGTCTTGAAAGTCTTTGTCTGAGTTATTTGTTGTTACTGAAAAATGAGTCTTTAGCAAGACATTCGATGAATAATTGTGATGTGAGAATAACTGTTGATCAATTTATTGTAGTTTAAAAATTGTGAACAGAGTCTTGGCTTCTTGTTTGGGGGCAGTGCGGCCAAAAACGTCTTTACTACTTAAAGGGCAAAACGTCCAAAAGCGTCCGTGACAACTAAGTGTTGTAAACAAGCGATCTTCAAGTCTTTGCGAGAATTCCGATTGTTAACATCTGGTTCTGCTGATAGCTGATAGAGGGGGTGCCAGTGAGTTACAAGTATTTCATAGAAATTTTTTGTAGTTTTGGGGTTTTAATGCTTTGTTTTTTAAAATGGATTTTGATGATTCTTCAAGTGATAGCGGATATTTCACTGGATTCAATTTAAGTGACATTGAAGTGCAAAAATTGACTATAAATCAGAACTAGATATTAATATTATATGTAAATTTAGTGAAATCATCGTAGTTAGCAGTGTCAACACACTTCGATTTCGTGGCAGTGTTTGTCAATAGTAAATAGATGACTCAATCACAAACAATATGCTGTTTTTTGCAAATATTTCTGTTCATATGAGGATTAATGGCAATATGGGAGTAAAATAATAAATCTCCATTCATTTTCCTTTATTTTGTTTTTTATTTCACAAAAATTTGTTCACTAACAACTTAGATTTGATGTTTTTACCAACGTAACCCTAAAACTAAAAACTGGAAAAATGTTGCCCGTTCAGACCTAGCAAGAGGAAGAACGTCTGCCCCGTAAAGGGTTAAACAGAGTTCTTGTTTTCTTTTCCCATGACTGCTGACAATCCTAATGTCCGTAGATGACTTGTCTTTGAGATGGCAGATCCTTTGTTTCCAATACGGCAGAAGTGACAAAGTCTTGAATTAGACCGAAGATATAAAAGATATTCCTTTTAACTGCCGTTCCCTGCGATAAAGACCACTCCTTGATTCCAAAGAAAACCTTTTTTTTAAAAAACCTCAAAACTATTTTAAAAAGCTGACCAAATAATCAGAGAGCAAATCATGTCGCCTGCAGAGCAGCACCTGGGAATTATGACTACGAGCTGGTGGATTTTCTATCACAGAATGTAACATTTAATTTGTTACATTCATTTTTTAGCAGGACAGAAAACAATGTTGTGCTTGAAACACTCAGAATTCTGTCATTTATCAAGGTGGCACATACAGAAATCATTCATTGCCAGCCAATCCCTAAACCCCCTAGTTCTTTGATATCTAAAACCAGCCAATCTCTAGACCCCTAGTTGTTTGATATCTAAAACCAGCCAATCTCTAGACCCCCTAGTTCTTTGATATCTAAAACCAGCCAATCTCTAGACCCCTAGTTCTTTGATATCTAAAACCAGCCAATCTCTAGACCCCTAGTTCTTTGATATCTAAAACCAGCCAATCTCTAGACCCCTAGTTCTTTGATATCTAAAACCAGACAATCTCTAGACCCCCTAGTTCTTTGATATCTAAAACCAGCCAATCTCTAGACCCCTAGTTCTTTGATATCTAAAACCAGCCAATCTCTAGACCCCCTAGTTCTTTGATATCTAAAACCAGAAAATCTCTAGACCCCTAGTTCTTTGATATCTAAAACCAGCCAATCTCTAGACCCCCCTAGTTCTTTGATATCTAAAACCAGCCAATCCCTAAACCCCTTAGTTCTTTGATATCTAAAACCAGCCAATCCCTAAACCCCCTAGTTCTTTGATATCTAAAACCAGCCAATCTCTAAACCCCCCAGTTCTTTGATATCTAAAACCAGCCAATCATTATCAAAGTTTGAAGACCTACCTGCTGTCTCCAGTTTTCTTTTTTTGAGCTACAATATAAGAAAAGAAGAAAGAAAAAAATATCATTAAGCCAGCCTGTAATGCTGCTGTGGGCAATAGCTTCTGTGGGCAATAGCTTATGTGGGAAATAGCTTACGTGGGCAATAGCTTCTATGGGCAATAGCTTCTGTGGGCAATAGCTTCTGTGGGCAATAGCTTCTGTGGGCAATAGCTTCTGTGGGCAATAGCTTATGTGGGCAATAGCTTCTGTGGGCAATAGCTGCTGTGGGCAATAGCTTCTGTGGGCAATAGCTGCTGTGGGAAATAGCTGCTGTGGGTTATAGCTTCATTTTTTGTAAGCCATTTGTGGCTATCAAGACTCTGCAATGGCCACATTTCTTAAGTAATTCTAATCTCTACTATAGACTGATAATTGTAGCAACCATATGTGTTGCAGTGCAAGTGATTGTGTCACCAAAGCTTAGGAATAATGCAGAGCTTTGTTTGACCAAAAGTCATTTAATAAGAAATGTTGCAATGTTTGTGTTGGACTCATTGTTCAAACAGTGGTTTAAAACTCTTTTAAAGAATTATAGCAAATAACGCTGTAATTTTATTGATCCAAATAAGTGGATTTTTTTTTTTTTTTCATTCATCGTACGTGTTATTTTCAGTGTTGAAAATCCTTGTTAGAGTTTTTCGTTGTTCCTTAAAATTACTATGCAGCAAGACTTCCGTCACATAATTGGGCAGTATAAATAACTGTTGAGCCCTGAGTGTGAGTTGTTATGAAAAATTGTTTCAGCTTTTTGTTTAAACACAGTTCAAATCTTTTGTCTTCCAAGAAACTTTATCTCAGATCTTAATCAAAAGAAAGATGGTCACCGCCACTTTGGCAAAATCTTCAAAAAATAAATTATGTACAAACTAAATAAGAAAATATAAAAGATTCAGATTGCCACAATTTTTTGACAAAGCGCCACACAAGTCGATTGGCTAACGTATTGTCTATATAGGGCTTATCATGATGTATGTAAAGCCACATTAGTTTCGATAAGATTATTGGTAAATTCGTATAGACTGGGGATTGTCTTTTTGTTGCACTGATGAAGGCATGTGCCGAAACGTAACTTTTGTATGCTGTAAAATTATTATTAAGCTTACCTTATATTGTTATATTGATACAAATTGTTGGTGTCTAATTAATCTATTTTAAAGCTTTATCGCAGTCCAACACTTTTTATAATCAGTTAATTGACATAAAATCCTTTTTTACTTTTCTCTCCATATCAAACTTACTAATGTTTACTAGTTATCCCCCAAGAGATCAGACTTACTAATGTTTACTAGTTATCCCCCAAGAGATCAGACTTACCCCATCTTTTCCTGAAGACAAATATGTAGAGAATGACGACCACTAGAATGATGATGATGATAAGGACAGCTATTACAATCCCAGCTGTGGCACCAGCACTCAGAGATTCTTCCGGAGCAGCTGAAGAGAAGTTCATTATTTTCATTATTTTAACATACTGCCTAGTTTCAAAAGAGAGAACATAGTTTCTACAAATGACACAGCCTTAAAAAGGTTTGGAAATACATTATTTAGAGACTTTCTTATTCCATTAATCTAATCTTACCTACCAGTGGTTCGTAACGCATTAATCTAATCTTAACTTTCGCTATCATACCCCACTAATCTAACCACACCTGCGAGTAGTTTCTACCCCACTAATCTGATATTTCCTACCTGCATTGTGTACCCCACGAATCTTAACATTACCTATCTTTAGTTTGTTCCCCACTAATCTGATATTTCCTACCTGTAGTTTGTATCCTTATAATGTCAGACCTGACTTCACCAAGTCTATTGACAGAAACCACCCTCATTTCATAATTTGTGCTGGCTCTCAGTTGTGTGACGACAGCTTCAGTCCACATGTTATTTAAGTTTAAATCTTCAACTCCAGACAGCGCCAACCTCCACGAGGACTCAGTCTGAAAGACATCAAAGGGTTAATATAAAACTCATGAAATGTTGCGATCAGTTGGTTAAAGACATCAAAAATTTTATATAAATATCATGAAATGTTGTGATCAGTTGATTGATGACAACAAAGGGTTAATATTAATCTCATGAAATTTTGTGATCAGTTAGTTTATTTGCTTGTTTAATTATTAATGGTGTAAACTTTATTTTTGTACTTATGTAAAAAAAAAGAAATTCTATTATTTTCTTATGTCTAACCCCCAGCCCCCACCCACAACCATCACCATCACAACTGCTATGTAAAGGGATTCAACGGGGGGGGGGGGGGGGGGGGGGGGGTGTCAGGTGATTATCTCATGCATATATTTCAGTTAAATTTTATTATCTTTCATATAATTATCAAATATAATTAGCAAATATAATTTGTAGCTAGATCCTTCCATTTGGATGAGTAATAAAGATGTGACCTCACTTTTTACTGATTATGTGGCTTATGGCCTCAACAGTAACTTATATTTACACACAGGGTTGCCCTAATCTCAAATACCCCATACATTGGAACAGATCACTAACTTTGTCACATGCAAAGGCCATAGTCATTTAAAACTAGAACAACTGTGTAACAATGTTACAAGATGATACCACCTCTCTTACTGTCCATGGCCCATAAGGTCTATACCTCAACCAGACCTGTTTACCCTCAAACTCTTAAAATCGTACAAGATCTTCACAAAATCGTTCAATACATATCTTAATAGAAAAAAAAATAAACATACAGTATATAAAAGTATACACCTCAAAATCGTACATTGTACGCCAAAATCGTAAGAGTAAACAGGTCTGGTCAACTATCTCTAACATACCAGTTTACAGAGACACCTTATACATGGACACAGACATGCTTAATAATATACAGAAAAAGACACCTTTTTACACACAGACACTTAATGTTATACATAGACACAGACAAACATTATACGTAGACATAAACACTTATTCTTCATAGACATAGGAACACCTTGGATTCCAAGAACTACTGAGTAACATCGGCAGCAATGCCTTTAACATTGTTCAGATGGAATAACAATGACAGTGACTCATTAAAATATTTCACGTTATTTAAATGACATACAGTTGGACAATAGGGACAAACTGAAAATATATTTTGAATATTTTGATACAACTGAAAATACATTTGGACATTTTTCATATAACAGAAAATACATTTGGACATTTTTGATATAATTGAAAATATATTTTGACATTTTTGATATAACAGAAAATATAACTTGAAATTTTTTATATAAGTGAAAATATATTTTGAAATTTTACTTTTATGAACATTTTGGTTCTTGTAATAAGTCACAAGTTTATTTTCTAAGTTCTGTAAGTTCTCTTTGCAATTCAATAAATAAATTAGGAATCAATTATTTTCAAATTGCAAAAAGAAATTTTTATTTGTTAGGGGTGGGAGTGGGGGGAGGGGTGTGCAAAACAGTAAAAGAAAATTTTTTAGCGAGGTGCCGAGTATAGGAAAGATTCTAAAACAGAGGAAAGGGCCGCAACTCTGCAGAGAATGGTATATAAATGACATACTGTTGGAATAAAGGGACGAAACTCTACAGAGAATGTTTGCAATTCTCCGCCATTAAAACCAGGAAACCAGAACAACTTGACCGAGTCATGTCTGGCCTCTACTGACGTCAGGTTGGTGGCAGCATGAGGTGGACCTGGAAGGTTAATAGACCAAAGAGTTGAAGATTTTTACTAAAGATGAATTAATTAATATTCAGAAAAAATAAATCACACAAGCCCATATCTAACTCAGTTGAAGTGGGACTTGAATGATTTTACTATATTTGTAGCCGCGTCATCATTTCTATTTGTGTTGCTTTTAATTACATTTAATAAATAAATACCTCTACCACTAAAAATATCTCTATGAAAGCCCCAACTTTATCCACTCCTGCCTGTCCTACATGGATAGTCTATCATATTCTACGACACGAAGGAAAATAACATGTTTGGCATTCTTTCTAAATGTCCTGCCTAGTGCAGCCTGTCCTTTTTTATTTCTGGTATGGTCCATACAATTTATGGTGGGTTCATATTCTCCATCCATGTTTATCCTTTATTGGTCTGGATATTTTCCGGAGAACATTTCTTTCCAATGTGTTTTTGTTAGGGTCTAAGTTTGACTGGCATAATATGTTATCACTGGTCTGATTACAGTTGACTGGCATATGTTATCACTGGTCTGATTACAGTTGACTGGCATGTTAAAACTGGTCTGATTACAGTTGACTGGCATAATATGTTATTACTGGTCTGATTACAGTTGACTGGCATATGTTATCACTGGTCTGATTACAGTTGACTGGCATATGTTATTACTGGTCTGATTACAGTTGACTGGCATAATATGTTATTACTGGTCTGATTACAGTTGACTGGCATATGTTATCACTGGTCTGATTACAGTTGACTGGCATATGTTATTACTGGTCTGATTACAGTTGACTGGCACATGTTATTACTGGTCTGATTACAGTTGATGGGCATATGTTATTACTGGTCTGTTTACAGTTGACTGGCATATGTTATCACTGGTCTGATTACAGTTGACTGGCATAATATGTTATCACTGGTCTGATTACAGTTGACTGGCATATGTTATCACTGGTCTGATTACAGTTGACTGGCATATGTTATTACTGGTCTGTTTACAGTTGACTGGCATATGTTATTACTGGTCTGATTACAGTTGACTGGCATAATATGTTATTACTGGTCTGATTACAGTTGACTGGCATAATATGTTATTACTGGTCTGATTACAGTTGACTGGCATAATATGTTATTACTGGTCTGATTACAGTTGACTGGCATATGTTATTAGTGGTCTGATTACAGTTGACGGGCATATTTTATCACTGGTCTGATTACAGTTGACTGGCATATGTTAAAACTGGTCTGATTACAGTTGACTGGCATATGTTATTACTGGTCTGATTACAGTTGACTGGCATAATATGTTATTACTGGTCTGATTACAGTTGACTGGCATAATATGTTATTACTGGTCTGATTACAGTTGACTGGCATAATATGTTATTACTGGTCTGATTACAGTTGACTGGCATATGTTATCACTGGTCTGATTACAGTTGACTGGCATATGTTATTACTGGTCTGATTACAGTTGACTGGCATAATATGTTATTACTGGTCTGATTACAGTTGACTGGCATATGTTATCACTGGTCTGATTACAGTTGACTGGCATATGTTATTACTGGTCTGATTACAGTTGACTGGCATTTGTTATTACTGGTCTGTTTACAGTTGACTGGCATATTTTATCACTGGTCTGTTTACAGTTTTATGCATAGTTTTCTTTTTCCTTTTAATGTTTTTCTTTTCTTTCTTTTATTACAAGCTTTTGTCTAAAATAACCTTTAAATACAAATATCTGAAGTTTCTTATCCATAAATCTCAAAAAGTTCTCTGACATTGATTGATTGAATGAATCCTTATATAGCGCTACGTATCCATGCTATTTTAGCATGCTCACTGCGCTCTCAGTGGTGGCAGGGGTTGTCGGAATGATTCACTGTTTTGATGTTTGCCGCCTGTAGGGGACGCCATCCTTGGGTTTGAATTTAGAGTTTCCTTCTCTTAGATGAGTTGCCGACCAAGGTTAGCGGGTCCCATCCACCCGGGGTGCTGGTGGGGTTTTTGCTTGACCGGGCTCTGGCTGGAATTGAAATATCGACCGTCAACTTGAGATTTGCTCAGTTTAGACCACTCGACCACCAAGCATGTTCACGGTCGCTTGTTGATATCATCAGATGTACAAGTACTAATTATATTGTCTCATTCCATCTTATCTTTAACCTTAGGACGTTCCACATCCTTTCCTGTCTCAATTTCAACAGATCCTACTTTAGTCTGTTCAATAGTTCCATCAACCAAGCTTGCTTTTAATCTGCTTAAGAACTTGGAAAGCCATCTTGAATTTTTAACTCTTGTAACTTTGTAACCAAAGTGACATTCTCATGAGCATAGCAGTAAACTAAGGCAGCCATGTTGTATGGGAGTTAGGTTACTAAGTGCCATGATAAACATAATATATTAACAAGCATTTGGGAATTAGAGGGGCTCTGAACAGGATGATATTCAGTAGTGGATTAAATGCACATGAACTTTACCTCTTGGTCTTATCGTAAAATTTAGGTCTGTGGTAAACTCAGATGATTGAAATGTCATTATAAAGATTCTGTCCATATCATTCTGGTCCAATGATCTTTTGCTTTCAAATGTAAACTTTGTTAGATAATCTTTCCCACTGTATTTGCTCTCTTTAGTTATGGCCACATCTTTTGATAATTCTTCTTTTCGATTTCTGTAAAAAAGATCATCAAAATAATTTATATTTTAAAAATTAAATAGATTTAATCGTTTCAGGTGATATTTTTTAATTACAATTTTCTTTTAATAAGAATTTTCATGTGCCAATGTTGGATTTACATTCCACGCATTAAAGTGTTCAAATGTTTCAATTACTTGGAAAATATTTCAATTTATGAACAAACTTAAATAGTGTTGCAAATATAAAAAGTCCATTCTCAGCAAAGTCAATGGCTAAATTATTTTCTTTCCATTCTGCAGATTCAATCTATGTCCTAGCCACCATCAGTGCCTATAAATATCATCAATCAACTTACTTTGTCCTAGCCACCATCAGTACCTATAAATATCATCAATCAACTTACTTTGTCCTAGCCACCATTGGTGCCTTTAAATATCCTCAATCAACTTACTTTGTCCTAGCCACCATTGGTGCCTTTAAATATCCTCAATCAACTTACCTCCCTCCAAAAGAGGACATAATCCTGCTAACCTCTGGTTCTGGCCTGGCTAATATGACAAAAGAAAAGTTGAGCGTTTGAGGAATTTCCCAGACATATTCTTTCTTTAGTCCCTCATTGTCAGCACTCCTTGGTTTACCTTAAACAAATGGAGGGAAATTCAATGATAATGATGTTAGAAATAGAAGTTACTACAGTGATATGGTAGATTAAACCTCAAAGTGATATGATAGATTAAAACTTACAGTGATATGGTAGACAAAGCCTAACAGGCAAATGTCAATCAAAGATTATTTCCTTACAGATGACATTATAAAACAACTGAAAGTTTGGTAAATTTGAAAATGACAGCATTTACTAAATTTAAATTTGCTGAGCGCTGCATAACTTGATATTTGTATTTGAACTAATTTAGGATTAGGAAGCTTATCCAGGGTATATGTGGTGGTTGTGATGTGTGTGTGTGTGTGGGAGGGGGGGGGGATAAATTGTTTCTTGAGTGTTCATATGTCCCTTCCTTACGTCACTTCATGATGTCTATTGTCCTTTCATGTCTTATCTTCCTTCATGTCTTATGTCCCTTAACCCATTCGCTACTAAAATCCTAAGCCAAGGGCACTCTAAAATAAATGCATCCCCATAATAGAGAAAAAAAAATTTTAACAACTGAGAATCAACCTCTATTAACAAAACATGCATTTAAAAAATAGAAAATTTAATAACCTTTCAAAAATGTATAGGGCTATATACTTTGATTGACAAATATTTGCAGTAAATCATGAAAGTGACATTTTTAAAAATGTCAGATGAATATTAGCAGAGCTGACCCAAAGTTTGTATTTGACTTTATTCAGAGTCCTGTGGAATTTAGAAAAACAGTTTCCCTTGTGTAGGTGAACCTGGCACAAATGACAACCAGTTGTTTCCCTAGTTCTGTCACTGTCCGTTTTGTTACTGTCAATCGAGGGCTGGTAACATCAACATTTCCTTTCAGTCATTGGACTCAACATGTGTTGACTGCTATATGGACTAGATCTGCCAGAGATACTCTGTATCTGGCTGCCTGCATTTGGTAGCTGCAGTCAAAAGTTGTTCCAGCACAGCCTTTCGAAACATCAGATGGTTTTGGGTTGGAGAGTCTGAGGCATCAGCGGGCTTAGCACTTTTCATAATCAGGAAGCTATTGATCATTGACAGATCTAAGAGGCACCAGAACACGTACGTCCACCACTTGGTGCTTGCTCGGCCCACAGGATAATAGGCACGATGTTGGTCTGACTAGTTCATCCCAAACATAGCAGAATTGTAGGTGACAACTGGCATTAGAATTTCTGTATCCATCATTCCATCTTTCGACCTGCATTGAACCGTGGTCACTACTGGGTTGGAATTGTTGGATATAATGTTCACTTGACGGTTGTCTGTCCATTGTATGGCAACCATTAATTGCACAGCTTTATGTTTTTTGCAATAAGAGGTTCTCTGCAAGTTTTGGAGAGAAAAAGAAATTGTTGAAAAACACTTCATGATACCATTCCAAGTCTGGTTCCATCATTGACCCAACTACATCATATCCCAGTCCATGATCTGAAGGATTTTAACTTTTGCCAGTATAAACTCAAAAGTTACAAATATAATCAGTTTTCGCTTCTTCGCAGCACCAAATTTTGATGGCCCATAGAGCTGACTTGTTACTCAAGTGCTGCTTGAATGACAGTCGTCCACAAAAACCAACCATTGTCTCATCTACGAACAGCTGTCGTTGCTGTTTATACACTGTTTGGCACACATTCCTAATATGGTCCTGTAGTGGTCTCACTGTGTACAGGGGATCATAGTTCACACTATTTTTGGCCGGAATGTTTTCACTGTTGGTGATATGAAAATACTGTCTCAATTTTTCATATTGTGTGAGCCCCCTAACATCTGCAACTGCAGGGACCCTCCAAAGTTTGTCACTGGACAAGTACAGTTTAGTAGTGTGCAATTTATGTAGCCCAAACATAATATTTACATATAAGAATTTATAAATGTCCTCATTAGTGACAGCCTTCCACTGGGTGTCTTACGGCCCTCAGCAGTCTGCTGTTGCTCAGCGTATCTGTTGGTTTCCACCACAATAAATTCCACCATGGCATCTGTCACAAACAGTTTGAAGTTGTCAGTTGGACTACTTTCAACAGGAAGGATATGGATACCACCTTTTATCTCATGAAATATCTCCATCTTATCGGTTACACTAGTCAAATTGTCTGACCAAGACTCAGTGATAGTGTCTTGATTGCTATCATCATCATCACTTTCATCGGTATTATTTTCAGATTCAGTCTAAATTCAATGCATTTTGATCAGTATCAATGTCTGATTCATCTTCATAATCAGAATTATTATCTGCTGAATAATTAAAAGTGGAGGCAGCAAAGAGTTTTAAAAAAAACTAAACCACTATAGCAAAATAATTCTAATAAATCCAAATCACAAATTCATTAAGCTCAGACCAGTGGTTCTCACCCTTTCTAATGCCGCGACCCTTTTATAAAGTTCCTCAGGTTGTGCTGACCCCCAACCCTAAAATTATTTTCATTGCTACTTCATAACTGTTATGAATCGTAATGTAAATATCTAATATGCAGGATGTATTTTCGTTGTTACAAATTGAACGTAATTAAAGCATAGTCATTAATCACAAAAGACTATAGGTAATTATATATTGTGAAATATTTATTTCTAATTACAAATCAATGAGATTTTGTCTTGAAGCATGGTGTAGCATGGGTAACAGTCTAACCATAACTACAGTAAACTACTTTGCTAAATTTTGCGACAGCATGCGTAAAAAGCCAATGTCAGTGCAAAGGTTGAGATTGTTTCTTTCTTACCAGATCAAAAATGCTCGAGACAGTCTTTGGTAGATTTTCTACAACAAGTCTACATTTAGACTTAATTACCACCAAGCTGGAAATGGAAGAAGAGGGTGCAACACAATCTTAGACAGAACAGGATTTGACTGCACTTGATCCAGAATTTTGTAGTTGGCATTGTAAAAAAAATCAGTTTTCGCTGCATCCCTGTTAATAAGTTCAATGCATTCCTCTTGTGTTGACTCAGGAACATCTTAAACTTTGACTGTGAATGGACTTCTGGTAAGTACGAATGGGGTATCAGGAATATTTGGAAAGTACAATGAAATTTCACCTGCAAGCATGTGCTGAAATTTAAATTTAAATGATCGTATCTTTTCAGACAAGTCGAGTCATGTTGCGTTTGGTCCTTGCAGTGATCAATCTAACTCATTCAAGATGGCAAAGATGTCATCCAAATAAGCTATTTTCTGCAGTTGACTTTTATCACTAAAAAGTGCTTCGAACTGCAATCTTGCTTTCTGATTTAAAAAAGTTTTGAGTTCATCACGAAGCTCTAAAACACGTTTTAAAATGTTTTCTTTCGACAACATTCTCACTTCAGTGTTAAATAGCAGAGCATTGTTCGGCACATCCAACTCGTTGCATAGTTGTGAAAACAGTTGACTGCTTAAAGTGATCGACATTACAAAATTGACAGAACTTAAGACACTTTTCGTTACTTCTTGTAACTCTTGTGGCAGCGTCTTCATTGTTAATATTTGCAAATCAATCAATAAGTGAGTTCCAATGACTTTTGGTGACTCATTCGTTAACAAACGTTGAAATCAAGATCGACATCCTGGCATAGCTCGAGCAGCATCTGTGCAAACACCACAAACCTTTTCCCAAGAGATCTCACAATCAGAAATAAACCAGCTGTTTCAAATACATCACATGTAATAGTTGTCGTATCAAGAGATTTGCAAAAAAGAAACTCATCTGTAAAGTCGCCATCATTAATATACCTCACGTAAACTAGTAACTGTGAACAGTTTGCAACGTCTGTAGATTCATCAAGGTGGATACTAAATATTGGGAGTGGAGTAGATTTAATTTCCTGGATTACCTGATCAAGAATATCAACAGACATGTCATCTAGTCTTCTGTGGACAGAGTTGTTAGATAAGGAAATTGCACTCAGTTTTGTAAAAAATTCGACTCCAATCATAATGAAAATTTGTGACCAATATTCCCTTTAAGCTGCACGGCTGCGCGGCAGTGCAGCTATCTCAGACGCCGCGCAGCAGTTTTGAGTATCCGCGCATCAGTTTTGAGTATCCGCGCAGCAAATTTCCACATAAGTGTGTGTCTGTTTTTGAGCGCTGTAAAATTTTGCACACAAAAAATTGATGCTGTAAAACTTTGCACACAACTGTATGATTTTGCTCACAAACCAACAAACCTTAGAGGGAACATTGTTTGTGACATGTCTGTTTTTTTTAGACTGACCAAATCAATCGGTTTCTAAGACCATCGGCATCAGAAATGTGTGTTTTCCAATGGTCTTAGGTGACTCCGTGAAAGGGTCGCGCGACCCACAAAGGGATCGTGACCCACAGATTGAGAACCGCTGGCTTAGACGGACTTCAACATCATGCAGCTTTCAAAGCATGAATGGTAGTAACGTTGTTTTTTTTTAAACAGATGCAGCAATATTCTTCCTTCTTTATAATCCTAAAGCTATTTGCCAGGCAACAATGCACCTCCCGATATTGTGTGTTATGTGTATGTGCATTCTGTTGCATTTATTAGCCAAGTGGGTATGTCACATTTGGTCGCAATAGTAGCAAATGGATTAATGTCTTACCTCTCTTCATGTTACTATGTCCCTTCGTGTTTATCTCCAAACATGTCTTATGCAGTTTTAAGTCTTATGTCCCATATGTCTTATCTCTCTTCATGTATTACGTCCCTACATGTCTTATCTCCATTCATGTCTTATGTCCCTTTACATATAATGTCCCTACATTTCTAAAAAGGTGACACAACGATTTGGAAAGAGATTTAATTATGAAGGTATCAAGTGACATGGTATTTCATTATTTAAACTTTCTTATAATTAAATATAATTGATCAGTAATATATCTACACTATACTTACACATAACAATGATATTCATTCTGCCCTCTGCAGAGTTTGTATCAGCATTCGCTTGACAAGAATACACTCCACTGTCTTGACAGTGAGGTTCGAAGGTGTACTTGCTTGTGTACAGACGTTCTGGCAAAGCAATCCTTGGACTGGGGCCAAGTTCTTTGAGTACAGTGGCTCCTGTGGGAGACTTCCAGCTAAACAACAAATATAATGTTACTTAAAATGTGGTCAAATCTTGTTGGACATTGTATAAATCAGATTTTAACACTCTAAATACATCTCAATTCAGTTAATTACATGCTGCTTCTTAACAATAATATTTAAAAAATGAATATGTAAATTCCTTAATTGATATATTATGGAACACTATTTTCCACAACTCATTACAAACAAAACGTGTATTATATTTCTATGTATTAATTAACCACACAACCAATGCATACTCAAATATTTTATTTTACTTTAATCTGTATTGAACAAGAGATTTTTCTTTTGCGTACATTATGCAATGGTTAAATGTATGTTTTTATCAATTAAGTAATAAAAATTCACAAAGCAACGGAATTTTAATTCCATCTTTCTTTTTGGCAAATATTTCTAATTAACCATTTAAAGTAACAGTAAAATTAAATTAAAAATCATTTATCAAATTTCTTGCTTATTTCTTTTTGTTCTCTAAAATGTTTGTAAACCAATCACCTTATGGTAGGTGCAGGATTAGAGTCAAAAGTACATTGTAGTGTAGCTGTTATATTCTCATGTACATTTCCATTGTCTTTTGCTTCATTGTTAATTCTCACTTCAGGTGGCTCTATGTCTGAAATAAGAGAAACATGTTTAGAAACTCAAACAAGAGATATTTTACATCTAGTAACTGCCCTCAAAACCATGTTGACAAGAATTAATTCACAGGCATGTCATTGGTAACTGAGAGTATAGTCAAATAAAGATCAAGTGACATCATCAACAAGTCTTTTCCAGACACACTATTTCAATATACATCCAGTGTTGTAATTTTGATCACCCTGAATTTCGTCCCAGTTCAACTTGCTCATTTCTATTGGATCAATTTGAAATAAACGAAACAAAGAGATGTTATAGTAAAGCAGTTTTAAATTTTTCTTATCTTATGAGACACAGTAACTTACTTCAATGAATAACCCATTCTTAACCTCTTTCATTTAAAACCCCCCCTCCCCCCCCCCCCAACAACCACCTTTTTTTTAAACTACAAAAGGCCTAAAATGTGTACAACTCACTCAACAACTGACCCATACTACAATGGCCGAAGCACGTGAATTAAAAATTTGTTGTTGAAATCAAAATTTGTGAAACATGAAACTACAACCTCATTATATTTCAAGAAGAAACTGAATTTAAAAATGTTAGTGCAGAAATGTATAAATATTTAAAGCTTCTGGTGGTGTAATGAAATCTTGTAAAGTGTACAGCAGACTTTTACCTCTGTGATGTAGGCCTACCTGGAGAAAATTATACAAATCTTCTAGGACCAGTTCATAACCCAATCACCCCTATTATTCCCTTGAAATATTGTTTTTTAAAGTTGGCTTTAGAAAGGATAAAAGCAGAAATAACTTTCTGGGACACAGCGTACAAGTCTTAAAATCTCAAATATTTCAAAAAGCACTGGTGGAAATTTACTGTCAAAGACTAACATCAAAGTAGATTAAATATTTTTAGGCTCTTCTTCTTCTATATATTAAGGGCCCACGATCCATTTAAATATTATGTGTAGATAATTTGTATAAAGAAAATGTCTATAATCTCAACTTACAAAGCAATTGTAGTTCGAAATCCTTATGAACTTCTCCATGTTTGTTTGATGCTTTACAACGATACGTTCCTTCATCAATACGAGTTACTGACTTTTTTAATATCTTGGCATCCTCAAGATTTGGAACTGGCTCAAACCTTACAAAATATCAAAAACAATTTGGAAAGTCATAAAAATAACTATTATTAACAAATATTAACATAACACATCAGTTAAATGTATTTATTATAACAAAACTTACCCCTGGGTGGTATACGATTTATAAGTCCACTGGACATCACAAGCTGGTAAACAGGAAATGTCACACTTGTAATTGAGCTCGTCTGAGACCTTTTTCCTTATCTGGGCATCGTTTTCAAATGGTGGTGTCAAGACCATGTCACTAACCAAAGGTTTGACTGAAAATTCAGAATTGATAATAAAACATAAATTTCAGCAAAGATTTCTCGTAAGTAGTATTTATTCTTCATTCTTCACTATCGCTGGTGTATTGGTGCAAGAAATTAGAGCCGTGATAAATACATCTGATGTGCCCTTGTTGAAATGAGATGAAACCAGGGATAGCTTATTTTGTTCATTATCCTGAAGATGTTCACAGAACCTATCAGATAGCCTTCTTCCGTCTCACTCATATAACTATAGAACAATCTTGGTCAAACAACACATAGATTACATTTCAACAAAACATAATAGAAAGAAAATTTTGTTGACAATATCCCTGGAAAAAGACAAGTTTAGTTGGGAATATATTAAGATTTACCATTTATTTTATCACATTCAACCAAAGAATTAATTAAATTCTGAACTCAAGTCCTTATGTGTGACAATAATTTTTTTTAAAATGATGTTTCCATGTTCACTGATGCATTTTCTTAACAGTGCTCTGCCCAATCACCCAAGAATAGCTACTTGTTTATTCTCATCAAATCATTTATATGCCTCAAGCTAGTGGATATCCTGAACATTTAAACCCAAACTTCCTGTTCATGAGGCTGACACGCTATTATGCCACAAATCTACCAACACAATTTATCAAACATAAAAATAATGATTACTTTCTGCATAGAATGTCATGTGAAATTCTCATCCCCGATCAGGGGTGCCACTCACTGAAAGCTGTGAACCCTGAAATCCCTTTCTAAAAATTTCTTGAAACCTGAAACTTCATTTACAAATTTTTCAATCCCTGAAACTTAATGAAACTCAAAATTCCTGATTATCGCAATGCGGCATTTTGTTGATTAATATAAAAACAAGCATGAAATTATCAAATAAAACATTGAGATACATCACAAATGAACAAAATTAAGCAATTAAGGTGTATACATGTAAACATTTATTAGTATTTATTAAATTTACAGCAATAGCAATTTTTCAATTTACTTAGACTTGAAAAGTCAACTTTTGCAATGAGTTATCTGGGCATTTTAGAACAAAAGTATAGCTACCACAAGTGGAAAGTATCTTTTCATATATGGAGTTAATGTTGTCTTCTTTATGATGAAAATGGATAGTTTGAATCAACACACTTTAGTGTCTATACTATCTCCCAAGTGTGAGAGTTTCATAGTTTGACACATAAATTTCATAAATTGAGAAGTTACAAAAGTGGACACCTAAGATGGGTGATAAAGCTGGTATCATCAGATGATTGACTCAGACATTTTCCCCTTGAATACTTGATATCAATATTTCCAGCATAGTATTCATTGATGACTTATTCAATCATGATTGCCTATTGCTGTACTGGTACTGTAATGCCTATCAGTTCTTTAAAGTTAAAGGAACTGTTAACTGTTGGGCATTACATATTTTTATTGAGCTTAGATCCTGAATATTGAAACAAAATAAAATATATTATCATATTAGATTTATAGTTTATAGTAAGGCATACATTTAATATCGACTATATTATACCAGTATTTAACTACGGCACTACTGCTAGTAGCAGTGCTACGGTAATACAGAGCATTATGAATACTAGTAATTTTACTAGTAATAGTAGTAGTAGTAGTAGAATTACAAATTACTGTAAAGTATACCCAGAGTCAGAACACGGGAGTGCATAACTAATAAATAAAAACTAACTAAATAGTTATGTCAGGCTCACTACAGAACGGATAAAAATAACATAATCATATTCGCCTATTTAAAATTAGAAGGCTTACTCCGTAATTAAATGTCAAGTGAACTTAAGAAGTATTTAAACAAAAGTTAAACGCCGCCTAGCTCTTCTAATAAAAAAAATACAAGTCGCCTGTATACAGTAAAGCTACATAACAAAGTACGCTAAGCTTAGTCTTGTTAGACAACGCTCGGACGATTAGTTTTCTTTTTATGATAATGGTTACCCAACAATTAAAAACTAGGTAGCCAAAAACTAAATTAAAAAGATATTTACTAAATTTTACACTTTGCTTACCCAAACACTTCAAATATCTCTTGATCGGCGACGTGAACAGAAAATAAATATTTCTGGTCTATCGAAGTAGTACGGTACTCGAAACGCGTAGTGTAAAGCGCATGCGCAAGGGGAAACCACTAGCTCTCTGGCAACAGAAAGGCTAAAAATAGACGAGATCGGCGATTAACGTCCAGTTTCAAGGAATTTTCCTGGTTTTTCGCGAATTCTGTTGCATGTTGTTTCTTAAAAAAAAGAACCCAGACAGAATCCGTATTTGAATAAATTGAACTGGCGAACCCGGAAAGAGAGAATATAAAAACTCGCGAATCCGGAACTGAAAAATATTTAGCCTCACGAATCCGGAATTCCGGGATGACCCGGAAAAGTGGCACCCCTGTCCCCGATTAACAATAAAAATAATATTTCTACATATCTTACCCTTAAAGTTAACACATGAGGTTGATACACAAAAAGTGCCACTATTCAGATTTATGCTTCCAATGATTGTGTGATTAATGAGATGAACTAAAAAAAATACTGATTAATGTTTGAAAAGTTAACTAATGGCTTTAGATAAAATAGATTGTCATTTAACTAAACAACTTACATTCAGGTATCACTTCATAGAAAGGACTTGGATTTGACGCCAAAGGTTCTATGGACACTCCCGGAGTTTTGTCCGCAGAGGTACAAGCAAATCTACGTCCTTTGTCTGTGCGTTGAATACCCCGCACCTCAAGATTACCTTGAGCATCCATGTTAAACTGCAATGTCAAAATGAAACTCAGATGTCTTTTAAAGAAACACAACCAAGAGAACAATAAAACCCAGTTTGAAATACAGTCTTTAATAAATTAATTCCCCATTAAAAATCAACAACAAAAAAATGAGTTATCTGGAGAAAAAAAATTGGCCAATTATATATCCTATACAGCAGTCCCTCGCCACTTCACGGTTCGACTTTCGCGGCTTCACTCTATAGCGTTTTTTTCTCAAATACTGTAAATTCATTAAAAAGTTGATAGAGACAGTGAAAATGATACAGCTCACGTTCGGTTGTTTGAGTCAATTATACATTTTAGTTACTGCACCACATAGAATATACATACAGAATTAGTATAGAGTATACATACAGAACCAGTTTGGAAAATACATACAGACCCAGAATAGAATATACATACAGACCTAATATTAAGTTACATACAGACCTAATATATTAAAACTTTATGTATCTACATGCAGAGATCTTACCCTGCTGTCTCCTCCTGGTATACCAATAAATTGTCCTTGGTTATCTTGCCAGACTATGTCAGATGCTAGTCCGTGGTCAGCTGGTAAACTAAGAGAGTTTGGTTGACATTCAAGCTTCAATGTCTGACCTTCTAGTGGAGGACTCAATACATTTATAGTAGGTGGGTCAGGTTTACCTAATGGAGATCAACCAGTTAAAAGATACCATTAGCTGCCTGCATGTATTGATTCAATTGTCAGTGAAGTAGAATGAGATCTTCTGATGACCAAATTATAAATACAACGCCAATAACAAGAATAATGTTAGCCTAAATTTAATATTTTATAGTTTAATTATTATTTTCTTAAATTATACATAGGTAAACCAGTTTAGTTTACACATCCGTTACTTCTATCTCATCTTATCCTACCTATTTTATTCACACACTAGAACTAACCCAGCAAACAATGGTGGCAGCAATGTATCAACTTCCCATCTACTAAAGTTACTTTAAAAAGACATGCATCAAAATTAGTGCCGACTTCTGGCAATTTTATTTTGCACACCTTTTGAATAAAATGTTACAGCCACACATTCATACATACCTAGAAAAATTATTATACATGATACTAGACACTACATCTAATGAGGCATACTAATTGATATATTAATAAGTTAATATATTCAGGGGTTCTTAACTTTTTTTTTTTTTTTCAGTTGTGCGACCCCAATATTACCTGCACCCCCATTTTGATTTTAAAACACTTTTTCCCGCACCCCCATGATAAAAACTACCGTTAAAAATGAATAAACTTGATATTCTAGGTCTTCCAGCACCTCCTGACACTGCCTTCCACACCCACTTAGGGTGATGAGACCCCTGGTTAAGAGCCCTTGTAATAAGCAACCCATCTAAAGCTACTTAATTAATTTACACACTACATCTAAAGGTACTTACTTTTAATATATTCAAGACACTACATCTAATATTACTTATTATTAACAGATTCTCAACACTCTAAATAAGCAAATGATAATCTCTAAACTCTCGCCTCTATCTTATCTCTTGATAACAAAACACATTCAGATACTTACGTAAAACAATGAGTTTCTGACCACAGTTTCCAATCACTGTATTCCCAGTTCCCACAAAACAGGTAAAGGAGCCAGCATCTGATGCAGCCACATTAGACAGAGTCATTTCTAGCTTCCTGTCTGCAGCAACCGGGTTTGTTGTGATTCTATTTTGATATTTCACTTGCAGTCTGAGATTAGTAAAGCCTTTATTTAAAAATAAAACATCTTCTTTGGTGTCTTTCATTTCATGTCTAATTGTAATAAGACTTGCTTCGGTGGCCTGCTGTGTGTTTGGAAAAGTGACTGTCAGTTTGACACTTACATTTTCCCTCGACACAACTTGACTCGTCACTTGAGATAAAATAGCTGGAAAAAGAAAATATTTGTTTAATTATAATAAGATTAAACTGAATTCATTTGTTAGTGATACACAAAAATACCCTCTGTCAAATATTTATTTATTTTCATAAAATTATTTTTTTTAAAAAGCACACAAATTTAATTTATTTGTCTTTCAAAACATACATATTATAATGCTTCCAGAAATCTCTCTAGTTATTTGAAAGATACGATGAGGTTTTTTGAAACTTCTCGCAGTTGACAGCATAGACTTCCGCTTTTTTTTTTCAAAATATTGTTTGGATAATCTAAGTCTATACAGTCTGTTCTTAGTTCCTAGAGGAAAAATCATGTAAAATGATGTAATAAAATTAAGCCTATCATAGGATTTACTAATTCTCTAACATTGGGAGTGAGAGAATCAAATAAAGTCACCACTATAGGGCAGTTCAACTGGGGTTATTACTTCCCTTGTCATCAATATCCCACAGAGTTATCAAACTTTATCAAAGACTACAAAGTACTACAAAGATGATTGTAATGGTAGGTTTATAAACCTATCTGGTTTTTTTTAATGTAGATGTTAATTATTTAAGTGGGAATTAATAACTAACCAAACTTTCAGCAGTGCACTATGCGCAACTGTGGATAAGTTTTATTACAATAGCTTTATTAGTTTAAAACTAAGTATCTGAACGTACCAATAGACCTATGTCAGGAAGGCCGCAGTAGCTCTTCGCCATTTTATTTTTTTTATTAAATGTGGAGCTTAATTTTTTAATGGGAAATATTAATTAATAAAATTTCTTTTATTTTCAGATAGACCCTATTTGTTTCTGTGGAAAACATTATCACTAAAGCTTTATTGGTTTAAAGAAATAATGATTTCATTGTATCAGTATCAATGCTACATATGTCGGCCACCAATGATTTCATTGTATCAGTACCAATGCTACATTATTGGTTTAAAGAAATAATGATTTCATTGTATCAGTATCAATGCTACATATGTCGGCCACAATTATTTCATTGTATCAGTATCAATGCTACATATGTCGGCCACAATTATTTCATTGTATCAGTATCAATGCTACATATGTCGGCCACAATTATTTCATTGTATCAGTATCAATGCTACATATGTCGGCCACAATTATTTCATTGTATCAGTATCAATGCTACATATGTCGGCCACAATTATTTCATTGTATCAGTATCAATGCTACATATGTCGGCCACAGTAGCTTTTCATCAAATTTAGTTTTAAAGGTGGAGGTTAATTTATATTAATGGGATTTAATAATTACACAAAATTTCTTGACTTTCAGCTGGACACTTTCAACAAAATTTATAACAATAGCTTTATTAGTTGAATATCTATGCCATTTTATGTAAATGTGTTTCATTTTTGACTGTCATTCCTCACCACCCCTTAAAATTATATGATCATATTAATTTTAGAAAAAATAACAAATTAATTCTAAAGTAATGTTCTAAATGTGTATTATTTCTTTTCAATTTTGTTTTGTTAGGATATCATCAACTAACTTTTTAAGATTAATAATTCTGAATCACATGGGCATCATGGCTAACATGAATTAAAAGAAGCTGATGACAAAAATCCTAACTTTTCTTCTATAAGTGATTGATACATAATCTTGATATCAGTGATTTTTGTGTATGATGGTTGTATTTGAAATTATGAGCTTGATTACCAGTATCTATATATGGCAAATAAAAATTTAAAAGCATATTGATATAGTTGTAATGAAATTAAAATACTAGAAATTAAAATACTAGAATCAACTATAATAATACTATTGTAGATATGTTTCTGTACTGATTTTATTCCAGCAAAATGTAATTTGTGAAGTGATTACATTTATCATTAAATTTTCAGTTGGCAGTGACCGATCGTCTTTATGCATTTCAAAATTACAGTTTATTCCAATTAATTCTTTGAATTTGAATCGGTCTTCAGACTCAAGTTGTAATCTTTTACACAATATCAATAATGAATGTCATGTCCGCACACAAATAGGCCGACCAAATGTGATTTTCTGATTGCGACCGAAAACGAAACCAGGCCAAAAACTAAATAAGACTTTCGGCCAAAACCGAAAGACTTAGATATTTTGAAATTTGTTCACGCATACATTCTGCATACATTGAAAAATGATGGGGGAAAAGTATCAATATTTACATTCTTTTTATAAAAAATGAGATCATCGTGAAAAAAAAAAGCTAAAAAGTGTAAAAAGCTAATGAATACTTTGGCTTTTACCATTTTAATTAAAAATCAGTTTAAATTTCGTAACAATTTATTTTAGAGAAAATTTGGACGGGGGTGTGGGACGACAAGAATACATGAAAAATAGACCCTTTAGACATATATCTACAATAATTATTATTTGTCACCTAAATATCGGTTATTAAGGCTATAAAAATATCAACGCAATGTTTCGCGGTTATCGTCATACTAATGCTTTGTGTTTTCATAAATAGCTGGCAAGATATCACCGTATTACAATGTAGCCTAGTACCAACACATTAGTCTTTCTGTGCTGATGACATAATTCTTTCGTTTGGCGACCAACCTCCTTCACCCCCATTGGTGGGGGAAAAATATTTTTTTAACTGGGTCTCTTAAAATTGTTGTTCAGAGAGGGTCTCGACAGAGAATCGCAAAAAACATCTCAAAATCGTAAATTTTTAGCCAAAATTATAAAAGTAAACAGGTCTGCAGTAGACCAACTACATAGTTACTATACAAACCCGTGATTCATGCACACGCCAATAACATTTTATGAGCATGACTTTGATGAATTTCAAGAAATTAATATTATGAAAAAGCTTAAGTTTCCCTAATTTTTACTTTTTTTAAAAATAAGGAAATATTACCATTCCCGTAGATTTTCTTCCACAAAAATATTTACATTTGCCTAGGCTTAATTAAAATTTAATTTTTGGAAATAAATGACAAGCAGGTCATAGATCAGTTGCGAGCAGTTTTTGCAGAGTATTAGTCATATAGCATATGATGACAGCGAGACGTCCAGCAATAATGAATATCAGATTGCCTGCCTACATGTCTCACAGTCTGACTGCTGGTAGATGACAGAAAACCTGAATCAACCTCTCTGCCAGATGGCCGAAAGTCTCAATCACTTTCAGCCCAAACAGAAATTAAACCGAAAATTAACTTTTCTGTTTCGGCAAAAACCTAAATTAAACCAAAAGTTAACATTCCTGTTTCTGTCTAAACCGAAACTAGGCCGAAAGTGGTCTAATGCCACCTTTTGGTGCTGAAACCGAAGCTGAAATTCGATCAGTCTCTACCCTAGACAAAAGCTTTTATTTAATACACAAATGTCTGGTAAGAAGCATAGAGTTTTCTAGAACAAAAGAGACATAATAAACTAAATTCTGATTGCGTCTATAGTGATGTTTCTTAGTACTATTTAAGATGGCGGATTTTCTTTTTCTGCTTTCTTATTAAAAAAGATTAACTGGAGCAAAAACCTTTGCTTTTTCAGCCAGATGGACTTCACTGTACTATAAAAGAAAAGATAATCAAGCTGATAATATTGCAACAAACACACCAGATACCCGTGAGGTTAGTTAAAATCATTTCAATACTCACTGTTAATGCTGCTGTAGAACACAATAAGCCTAAGCAAAGAGGTAGCCGATGTCATATTGGGTTCTAGAAACAATCCTGGATTTCCTCCAAGAAAATTGTATGTTATTGCCTACTCTTTGGCTTCTTGGAAATCTTTATTACAATGACCTTTTAGAAAGCTGGGTAAACAAAGTATCTGAATTATTTTTAGTGAAAATAAATTCCTTTCTTCATTTATTATAAAAGAAAGTTTCTCATTGCTAAAAGATCAAATTCACTTTCACTGTGTAGCACAACATTATGTATATCTCCAGTCAGTGTATCGCCATTCTGCAAAAAATAAAATACAACAGTTTTGATGCATAATTAAAAATAGCCTCAATTACAATATTGTACTATCAATTCCCTCATCTATTGTACTTTTGTGCGGTAGCTACGCCCATCGCCCCTGTCTCCAACATGGTTATTTGGGACAATTTAAATTTATTTTAACGTAGAAACTTCCTTTTGTCTGCTAAAGTATTTCTGGTATGGTAGTAGGTGCCGTCTATCTTAGTATGTGATTACCAACGCTATATCTGCCTTTATGTCTTAATTCATTTTAACCAAGCCTGCAAGAATTTGCCTATCGTAACTAGTTTCGGGGCACAGACATGTTTCCGAACTTCCTGATTATGCTTGTCGATAACTATCCGTGATTAGACAGTCTTTTGTGGTTCAGAGTAGAATGGTGCTTTAAATAAACTTGAAACTGTGTTAACTACAGCTTTGTTGGGTGTATTTTATGTTTTTAAAGCTGTTTTTTGTCTATTTTAATGTTATTAATTACCAACGCTATATAGGAGTTTTACCCTTTTTAGGTTAGTCTAAAGAGTCTATGCATATTAATATTTAATTTTAATATATAATAATTAATAATATATTATAATTATAATATTATGTGTTGTATTTGAATAACTTCCTCTCAAGTTCTGAAAGCATTTCTTTAATTTCTAAATGACTAAAACTAAAGTAAATGAACTGATTTTATTTTATTGTTTTGTTCGTTGAAAGTGATTAATGAAGTTGAAGATGGCTTTCACTTTTCAGTCCTTTGACTTCACAATCAAATGTTTGCCTAGGATAGGCAAGGTAGCCTAATAGTTAAAAATAGTGCCTAATACAAAAATCCCTAATGCCTAAAACTAAAAGTAATGCCTACCTAGCCTACTAAAGAGTACTTAAAAGTAAAAGACTAATGATTACAACTACTAATTAATGATGTTATTATTTATTATATTAAATATTAATTTAAAGGAGGTAATTAATCAATCTACACTTTACACACAATGTTGAAATATAATTAAATAATAGATAAATTTTATATTTTGATCTGGTCTTACAAAATTTAGTTATTAGGCCTCCTTGGTACCTGGTTGTTGTGTTGTTGTTTTTTTTTTAAGTTTGAACTTCAGGAGCTATCCCAATCCCAATAGTATTTCCACTTCCTGACTGAACAACATAGCAAACAGGAAATGCGGAAAATTCAGCATTAACTAATTTTATCAACCGGAAAATATACCCAGCTAGAATTTACCGCGATACAAAATAACTTCCAGATAATTTTGATAAAAATTTGCGTATTTTATCTGTCTTAATTTATTTATTAATTATTATATGCTACTTAATATTCAAAGTACATGTATATGCCTACCGTTAGTATAAAAACAGCGGAGAAAACACATTGGTGTGCAATGTGCAGCATTTTAGCTCAATCATTGGGCCAACTAACGTATCAACTACCTTATACTTAAACACAAAAACATTAGTTTTTTGTTTGTTTGTTTTTTTTGTTTTTTTAAAGAATAATAATTCTTTGTCCATCTCATCGACTTTGCACCCCTTTTAAGTGGCGCTCAAGGCACGCGCCATGTCTTGCCACACCGCCAGTACACCACTGAGTGAACTGACTTGACTGGTCTAAGAAATAGTTATGAGTATGTTAATAAAATTGTTAAGGGGGGAAAATCATATGTAAAATTTTTTTACGGTTAAGCAACTAATTGCGCTCAACTATGAATAATAATTTTAATTTTAAGAATGTGACAAAAGCATATTTTACTGAAATTCAAATATATTCCTTATAATATATTTGGTAGGCCTATATAGTATTATAATTATAATGCATATGTGACATTTGTAAAGACAGATTCATTTGCGTGGGTGAATTGTATCTTTGCTTAAATCATCCGGGATTACCTCTACAGTCTGTGGATAAGTGCCACTTAACTAGGCCTACTTTGCTCGTATAACGTATATAGCATATTTTTTTTTAATGATTGAATATTGTACTTGAAGACTTATTGTTATCAGAAGTGTAGCTAGGATAAATGACGCCGGTGGCTCTCCTCCTTCAACGAAAAAATGCTGCAGTTTACCGAAAATGCCACCCCTTTTTATGAAGAATTTTTTTTTTTTTTTTTTTTTTTTTTTTTTTTTTTTACTGAAATCAGTCGAGACAAGTGAATATCGTGGGTTGCGATTCAGTTCGTGTTCAAACAATTCGGATAGTAACTAACAACCTTGATTACTATGTTAGTGACATAATAGGGATATGGAAGGCGAAAAAAATGAGGGGGGGCACGTTTTTAGTATAATTTATATCTCATTTATTTTAATAAAAAAGGATTTAAAAAGTTAGAGTTGTCAAGTCCAAGCAGTGGAGTAGCTAGGGGATGCGGACCGCACCAGGTGACACCATCTCGGGAAGTGGGGGGTGGGGGTGGACACCAAATTGAAAAATTGCATATTTACAGAGTACACTGCTCGGTCTAACCGAATTTCATTAAAGGATAACCGATCACACATGCATTGTTCACAAATGTAACCATAAAAGGAAAATTTAAATAAAGTAAATTCAATGTAAAAATAATTATAACGTAAAGTTGTTACAGCTCTTAACCCCATTTACCCCTTGACCTTTAATTAATTTGTTTTTGTTCTTGTCATTGTTATGCTGTGGACTTATATTAACAAAAAGAAATCCATCGTGGAAGTCGGGGGGGGGGGGGTGACACCCTGAGTTAAGCGCACCGGTTGACACCAACCCTGGCTACGCCCCTGGGTACAAGTGCTAAGTGCCTGTTTAGCTGGGTTCAGGCGTGTGCTCTTTCGATTTTTAATTTGTTTTTGTTCTTGTCATTGTTATGCTGGGGACTTATATTAAAAAAAAGAAATCCATCGGGGAAGGCGGGGGGGGGGGGTGACACCCTGAGTTAAGCGCACCGGTTGACACCAACCCTGGCTACGCCACTGGGTACAAGTGCTAAGTGCCTGTTTAGCTCTCAATTTGTGCACTTGAGTTTTTCATTGTGAGAAATAATTGCTGTAAAGTGGGCTTTTTGTTTGGGGGACATTTTATTGAGTCACCGCAATTGTCAACAACGGGGATTTTACGTGGTTTATAAATAGTAACTAAGAGTAACGTAACTTATAAATAAGAGGGTTACCCTCTATTGTTTAATTCAAGGGTCTCCAAACTACTGCCCGCGGGGCCCTCTCATCCGGCCCGTGGAGACCTTATTGTCTACACACAAAAAATTACGGAATTTACGTGTATCCTGCCAAGATCAGCCGCCCCTTACGTGGACGTTATGTTTTTACCGAATTAAACTAGAGGTGCGAAGTAGTGCGTTATGTTTTCCAACCAATCACTACATTGCAAAACCTTATTCGCTGCTTAGTTTTTCTACTTTTTTTCACTACAGCTGGAGTCAGGAGGTCATTGAGTTGCAAGCAAATGACTTCCTCAGGGACAAGCTCAAAGGACTGGTGGGTTTTTAAACAGTTTTTGCCCAAGGAAGACTTTCCTAATGTCAAAAACTTTTGCATCAAGGTACATTTCAATCTTTGGAACAACATGCCTGCGTGGACACACATTTTCAAAAATAAAATACGCGAAAAACAATTTGAGAACAAACTTGTCTGATGATAATCTCAGGTCATTGTTGATGTTATTGTTAAGGATATCAAATCTAAAGCCAGAAATGTCTGCTATTTTGGCATCAAGCAAACAATTTTTACCATTCCCACTAATACACGTGTTCATGTGTAGTGTACCAAGGGTTATTAAATAATAACTGAATAAAATAATATTAAATAAATAATTAAAAACACCACCCATGTTTTATTTATTTTTCATTAGGACCTCGAGTGCGTAGTCCGCCCCCTGAACTGCTTTTTGACCGTTAATGTAGCCCTCGGGTTGGAAAGTTTGGAGACCCCTGGTATAGGCCTAATTGTTTTGTTTTTTTTTTTAATTTGTTTTTTTAATTTTATATATATATATATATATATA